GCTTGCCCTGCCAGTGTTGGTGGGAGTGTGGTCTTCTCCTTGGTAGTTCCTTGATTGTTTGTCTGCTTGTTAGTATCCTTGGTAGTTCCTTGATTATTGTTTTCTCCTTATTTGTCTGGTGTTAATCCCTGCTTATCTGGGTGTTGGCTGCTGGAGAGGATGTGTTCTGGTCTTTTTGTTTCCTTCTTAGCTTTCTTATTGTGTCTTCTGAATGGTGTGTAAATGTGGCTTATTTCTATGTGTCTATTGATGGCTGATGTATCCAAGGAATTCCCTAGTAATTCCCAAGATGATCACACATTCTTCATTCCTGATTTGTCATTTTATCTTCCTTGAAATGCATAGGCAGATGCTCTATTAAGCAGTGCCATCTATCAGGACCTAGGAAGGGCTCCTTTTCTGTCCTCCAGAACACCATCCCGCCCCAGACTCCTCATCCCCCATGATATTCTGAAAATCTCTGAAGACCTGGCTGTTCTTCCAGGCCTAGCGCTAGGGTAAGAGTTGAGCCCCTGTCAGTTGTTGGTTATTTTTGTTATACTGTATGTTTCCCAATTGTGCATGGTTCTTTTTTCCCCCTGTTTTATGGTTGTTTCCGTTTTAATTAAAAGCCACAGTTGTCTGAAGTTAGGCAGCCTCCATATTCAAATAAATAAATAATCCTCATCTGTTTTGCCACCCTTCAAGTAAGGAAGCTTCTCCCAAGTCCATCAAAGGAAACCAGGACAACACATGGTTACTCCTTTCACGTACATCTAATAAGCCAGTTCACTTAATTCTGTTATTTATTTATTTAATTCAACTTAGATGCCGCCCAACTCCAAAATGACTCTGGGAAGCTCACACTATAAAAACAAAATAACAAATATACAATCAAAATGGAAAACATAAAATATTAAACAAGATGGTGAATCTGGTCAGCAGTAACAATATAGATCATACACCCAGCAAGGGACTCCAACCACCATAGCCCAATGCCTGGAAGAACAGACAGTTCTTTAAGGTTCTCCAGTATTCATCAAGGTGGGAATCACCCAGATCTCAGAGGGAACCTCATTTAAGATGCAAGTGCCGTTACAGAGAAAGCATGTTTTCCAAAGTCCTGATAGATGACACCGCTGGACTGAAGGAAATCCAGAGTGCACCAACCCAGTCACCTTGAATTGGTTTGGCAAGCACCACAGGAGATAGGTGGTCTCTCAAGTAACCAGGCCCTCTGCCATGTAGGTCATAACAAGCACCTTGAATTGCACCCAGAAATAATGTGGCAACCAGTGCAGCTCACAAAGCATGGATCTCATAGGAGCACACCAAGGCATGCCCATCATTGCCCACACCACTGCATTCTGGACCAACTGAAGCTTCTGAGGACCAATGCTTTGCTTTCCACTTTCCACCATTCTTATCTCCTTGCCAAGAATCCTAGAGATGCCTACAGAGAAGGAGAATTCTTCAGTGCTCCATCCTTCTGCTACAGTAGCAATGTCAGCCCTGGACTTAATATCATGAATTTTTTGAAAGACATCAATTTAGATCCCTGATAAATATCATCTCTCCTCTGCAGTTTGCTACTTGGGAAATAAAGAAGAGGGTGTCAGACAGAATGTAACCCTATCTACCTAGTGAATAAATAAATACTTTTGACTCCGGTCCCATCGAAAACATGATCTCCATCAGATTATTCCTAATTAAAATGACTTTCAAAAATTTCCCATTCCTGTCCTGTACAAATAAGAATAAAGATATTTCATCTTTAAAATGTCTCTGTACTGTGTCTAGCATAGTAGGATTTTTCTGGCCTACAAAATGTGATAAAAACAGAAGACAGAAGCAAATTCCATCTCAATTAAAATAGCTGAAAGAACTTCCTTCCTTCCTTCCTTCCTTCCTTCCTTCCTTCCTTCCTTCCTTCCTTCC